ACCAGGAGTCAGCCACTCCTCTGCAATAGATTCTAAGATTGCAAGAGTAAAGGGAGCAGTGGCACTGTATTGTGCCACCAAATTTTTTTAATTCTTTAATAATTTGAAAATTAAACCCTGTGTGATGTCTCCACGCAACCCCTTGAGGGTCTCTAGTCTCTGATACAGGGAAAGCCTCAGCCTTTCCCTCCTCTGGCTGATCTGTGGCTGAACTAAAAACCAGAGGACAGGGGCTGCCTTTGGACACCAGGTTGAGGAACTCGAGGACCTGGGGGATTTCCCTTGCCCTCTCGAGACCTCTTCCCTGTCTTTAATTTTGGTAGCTGATTAATTAAGTCCTGATACTCTTTTTCTAGCTCTATTTGTTTTTTAAGAAGAGAAATTTGTTGTTTAAGAAGAGAAATTTTATCCTGTAACTCCTTTAGGTGATCTACAACCACCATCCTCAGAGAGGGAGCATCTGGAGGTAGAGGATCATAGGGAGGGGGTCTTCAGGAAGAGGGCCATTCAGGGTCGTAATATTTGGCTGCCTCTTCCTCTAGGTCAGCACAATCTGGCTCTGACAAATCGATTACTTCAACCTTTGGTCGTATTTTGGATTCTATGCTTTTCTTTTTCTTTTGAACATGAAAGACAGCATTTAAACAGCGAAACAAAAGCAGACAATTGACACACGTAAACAGCAAACAACAAAACAAAAACAGAGAGTTGAGTTCATGCTGACTTATTTCTTGCCCCATTATCATTACTATGACCTACTGGTCTCCACCTGGCAGTTTCTTGCTGCAATCACCTCTGTTTCACTTCTGAATTTTCAGTCAACCCTTCTTCTGGTAACGTCCCTCACTGGGCCTCTCGTTCTTGTTGCCCCACATTGGGCGCCACTTTGTAGCCGCCCGAGCTGTCTCACATTGGGGGGGCCACTTTGTAACGGCCCGTTCTGCTGTTCCGGTCCACAGGTCAGGGCCTAGCAAGAGAGAGAGACTTGAACGAGACTTGATCAGACTCCCTGTCTTGTCTCCATTCTTCGCGTCTCCGTCCCCTCTGTCTCTCTTGCTAGGCCCTGACCCGTGGACCGGAGCAGCAGAACAGGCCGTTACAAAGTGGCCCCCTTAACATGAGACAGCTCGGGCAGCTACACACAATCACACCTGCTGTACTGTTACACACACGCGCATGTACACACCTGTATGAGTATTTGTGCACATGTTTATGTGTGCCCCATAGCATCCTGAAGAATAGGATCCTAAAACAGGAGTTAGAGGTGGCTGTGAGCTGTCTAATCACACCCTCTGAAAGAACAGCATGCATATTTAACTTCTGAGCCATCTCTCCAGTCTCCATTACTTTTATATTGTATGTAATTAAAGGGATTTCATCATTTTGTGGTGTTCTAATTATTTTGAGATAGGTTCTCCCTTTGTAGCCCAGACTGGCCTCAAACCCATTATTTTGCCTCAGCCTCCAGAGAGGGGGAGGTATAGTGTACACATCTAAGTGTAATTATGGATTTTGAAGTAACGCTTCATCTAACTTGACATTCAATAAATTTTGTATTGGTTTGCAGCCTATTCCTATAACAAATGCCTGAGAGAAATCAACCTGAAGGAGAAAAATGTTTACAATAAAGTTCGGCTTCAGAGGCTTCAGTCTGTGGTGGTTTGAATAGGCATGAATGAGGCATGGCCTCATGAGGTTTGAATGGCCTCATGAGGTTTGAATGAGGCATGGCCTCATGAGGTTTGAATGCTTGAAGGAGATGCACCATTGGGAGGTGCAAGGCAGTCCCAACTAAATGTTTTTCTTTATAACAGTTGCCCTGATAGTGGGGTGTGGTAGCCCACACCTTTAATCCAGCAGAGGCAGGCAGATCTCTGTGAGTTCAAGGCCAGCCTGGTTTACAAAGCAAGCCCAGAATAGCACAAGAAACCTAGAGAAACCCTGTCTTGAAAAACAAACAAACAAGAAGCGTTGCCATGGTCATGGTGTCTCTTCACAGCAATGAAACCCAAACTAAGTCCAATTGGGTGGCGCAGCACTCTGAGGGCTGAGGCAAAGCAGCACGGCATGGTATGGGTACATGACAGAGGAGGCTCACGTCACAGCAAGCCCCGGTGTCCTCTTCAAGTCCAAGACCTTCGATAGTGGCCTGGAGTGGGGGACCAATCCCTGAATACCTGGGCCTTTGGGGACATTACAGATCCAAAGCAGAAGCAGGCCTGGGGTATAGTGCTAAAGGCTCAGCCTCCGGTCAGTGACTCACTTCCTCCAGTTCTAGCCCCACCCTCTAAAGATCCCACAACCCCAGACAGCACCTCTAGCTGCCGACCAAGTTCTCAAATATAGCCGTGTTTTCTACCCAAGCTGCAATAACTTATTTACACATGAAAGATGCATCATTTTAGATTTTTAAAGTAAGCACTGTCAACTCTAAGTGGCTGAGGTCCACTTCTGTGAGTCTGATGCACATTCCTACCAGACAGCCACTAGTTGGAACCCTAGCAAACTCCCTCCCCTGTAGCTGGAAGGAAGAAGACAAAAAAGCAAAAAACAGTAAGCCACGCCAGATCCAACAGAGACCAAAAGTTGGCTGACAGGAGGGACTGGCCCCATACCTGACTACTACTCACTTTTATGGAATTCTCTATCCCAAGAGCTTTGTCTGTCACCTATGCTAGGAATGAAACGCAGGGAATATATTCTAAATAACTGGGAAACCATACTTTGCTCAATTTCCAGTGCTAACTCTGCCAACTCTCTAATTTGTTTTCCGCATAGAAATCACATAAACACTAAATTTCTAGGATTCTGACTCTTCCACTTAAGAAAGTGTGTGCTACAGTTGGAACCAGTCTGTTCCTCACCTGCTGGTACAGCTAAGGGGTATCACTGAATCATGAGGGTGCCAATGGCATGAATACATCAAAACAGTGGACAGTTCACAGCTGGATAAATTGCTGGGATTTGATGGAAAACTGTCCAAGGTGGAGTACCCCCCCGGGGGTGTGTCTTGTCCTCAGCCCTTCCCTGTCTCTCCTCTGTGATCGATAAACCCTCTACCTTCGTCTCACCAAGCCCAGTAACAGTGGGTAGTGACCAGGGATAAAATCTTTTCCTCTTTTGGATTTTCTCAGAACTCTGGCACAGGGAGAGAAGCCTGAGAGTCAATGAAGTAAAGTTATCAACAAGGTTTTGAAAGACACTACAGATATGAAATAAAAAAAAAAATCTAGAGGCTGGAGAGATGGCTCAGTGGTTAAGAGCAGCAGATAATCTTCCAGAAGATCCCAGGATCAATTCCCAACACCCATATTGCCACCCACCATCAGCTATACTCCAGTTCCAGGAATACTGCCGCCCTCTTCTGTCCTCTACAGACACCAGGCATACACATGATGTGAACATCCATGGAGACCAAACACCCATACATATAAATGAATGAATGAATTTTAGGAAAGAAAAGAAGAAAGAAGTAATGCAAAATCATTAAGAACAGTACCACTGGGCTGGAGAGATGGCTCAGTGGTTAAGAGCACTGACTGCCTTTCCAGAGGTCCTGAGTTCAATTCACAGCAACCACATGGTGGTTCACAACCATCTGTAATGGGATCTGACGCCCTCTTCTGGCATGTCTGAAGGTTGAACAGTGTACTCATAGACATTAAACACATAAATTTGTTTAAAAAAAAAAAAAGAGTATCACTGTAGCTGGCACACGAAAGTGAGGCAGACTGTTACATCTCACATTCGGCACAAATGACCAAACATATATAACATGTCAAAGTGGACTTGGCCACCAGGTTCTCCCAGCATCCTCTAGTCCGTACCTATTACAGAGCATGGCTGGCATCCCCCAACCCATACCCTAAACTTCTCCAGCCCAGGGGTTGGGCTGCCCTTCCCTATATAATCCAGCCAGTTTGGCTGCCTGATCCTTTCACCACCCTTGACTCCTGGCTCTCCCCTCTCCTGCTTCTCACTTGGCCTGGCTGGGAGTTATGCTTACTCTGGACTCTCCCAGATGTTCCGGCCTCTGGCTCTATTCTCTCTGTTATCTACAGTAACCCTCTTTCTCCCCCACACTTTGACACCAGCATGTCCCTCATTATTTTCATTCACTGATAGTTTTACTGTTAGAATCTATTACTTCTAAATTTTTATTTAAGACAAACATTCAGATTTATTTTATGTGTATGAGAGTGTTGTACCACTTGCATTGCCTAGTGCTTACAGAAGTCAGAAGGGCTGATTACCTGGAATTGGAGTTTACAGATGCCTGTGGGTAGTGAAAACAACCTGGATCTTCTGCAAGATTAGTGAGTGCTCTTAACTGCTGAGCCACCTATCCAACCATATATATATTTCTGCATCTTTTATACAACGTAATGCAGTATGTTAGGAAGATATGTTTTGCCTGTTTCATTCCCCTCCAGAAAGTATCAGTTAAGGGTCCCATGCATTTTTAGGTAGCCACCAGGCACATCCTTGTTCTTGACTAATGGAGACACGTATGTTATTAAGGTGGCTGCCTTCATCTCAGCTTTGAAAGAAGAGATTCAGTTGGACCTAGCGATTCATATTAAAGACCAAAAACACAAACCCTTTCCTCAGAATGTGCTTCCTTCTGCCCGGTGCCACCTGTAATGACTTACAAAGAGCCACTTACCTTTGTCTTCTTTTCTGACATTCCAGGCAGCGGCTTACCTTGTATTTCTAGCTACGTGTTACTGCAAGGATAAACCTAGTTTAGTGTCTGGGATAGGGAAATCAGCAGTCAGTGGCCAGTATAGCCGAACATCCTGAGGCCATTAAAACATTTCCAATATTCATTGACATTTTAAGAGACTTCCTCAGCTTTCTGGGATTTGTTTTGACACCGGATAATTCTCACTGTAAGCGAGAGATCCACAAAAGATGGGTTTTTCTACTTTACCTTTCGCATCTTCTTTGATTCCACATAGTCTTGAAAACACTCTCAGGAGATAATCAAGAAGAAAATATTATTATCAAGAATAGCTTTTATTAAGACCTCCATTAGAAAACGTCAGACTTTTAACAATACTCCAGAACATTAGATGAGGAACAGGGATAACTCGGCAGCATATAGTGCATGGATTTGGCTCATTAAACCCGTCATTCCTAGAATTCATAGCAAAAGATGACGTTTGCTATAAGCACTTAGTGAAACAGGAGTGCTGGGATTCTAAATGTTGTACACATCACAATACTCGGATGTCCTGGGTATCTCAGATGTCTCTCGGGAGACGTACCAACCAGTGACTCCAACTGTATAAGAGATTCACACTTAGAAACCTTGTGACTGTGAGTAACATATTTATATCCACCTTAGTAAGCTCCAGAGAAACAATACATTGTGTATAATTAAAATGGAGAAATAATAGTTTCTCCAGGTATAAATGTATATTTGAAATTTCAAAATAAGTAATACTTCTAAGGGAAGACTGTCCTCTATCCCAAAATAAAATAATGCTGAAAAGTCCTTACAATGAATTTTACAGTTGCTTTCATTTTTATTGTTAAGTACAGCTATGAAAACCAAGTCACATGAGCTTGAGGCTTTTCTTCCCAGTTTGGGGGAGCCACTGAGACAGTGAGGCCCAGGAAGGCGTGCTCTTAGATGTCCTGCTCGATCCCAAGCATGCTCTCCCCTCTGCTTCCTCCTGGCCCCCACCCTTTTCACTTTGAGGTTTTAAAATCAAGAGACAGCCTAGTAAGGTCTCAAAATGACCCATCACAAAAAACAAAAGAAACAAAAACAAAAAACTAAGGCAGCGTTAGGCTGTGGAAGCATCAGATCTTTGGCAAGGATTGTCCTCCGTTCTCGCCTGCTCGCCAGCTGTCAGGGGCTTCTTTATAGATCTGTTTTCTCCTCATAACGACACCAGCATGCAGCCCGCTGGCTGTCCAGGTATGGCTTGCAGCCTAAATGGATGACGCTGTCAAACAGGAGCTCCACCGTTGTCTCACAAGCTGCAGAGTACAGATGTGTTGTCACCGCTGGGCAGGTGTCAGGCATCACTCATCCCCAGCTCAGTCCCCTTCTCTATAACCTGCTGAGCACACGGCCACACATGGCAGCAGGCACACAAACATGTAGCAGGCCAAAGTCAGCCCAGCCCTCACATCAGCAGTATACCCTGCAGATTCCATTTTAGTTTCTTTTCCATGAGATGTGCGGGTGTGTGTGTGTGTGTGTGGGTGGGTGCGTGCATGTGTGTTGTGCATACTTGGTTTCGAATGTTCAGATAATTTTTGTAGACAAATCTTTATGAAACACAAAACAGGTTGTCAGTGTTAGTTTCCTTTTAGCTGAAAGATGTAACCATAATAAAGATGTCTGACAACCAGACACACGCTAGTGGTCTAAGTGGTGAATTCAGGCTCGTCTGAGGCAGAGAGCTCCTTTCTGGACTTCCTGGGACTTCAGAGTCAGAGCTCCAGCATGAGACTGACTAGCTGGAGCAGTCAACAGACACAGCACAGGCTTCACAGTGAGAGAGTCAACTTGACACAAGTTCCTGTCCCCACTTTCCTTCCCTGAAAGATACTGGAATCCCACCTTTTGTGAGCACCAAAAGAAAACTACATTATCTAGCACAATATTTTAAGGAAAATGCATAAAAAATGTTACTTTTCTTTCCTGGCTTTATCTTTGCCACTTATCTTCTGACTTTAGTGTATATTCTTTGCTTCATAGAAGGAAAAGTCTTATAAATACTTGTACTGAAATATTTCCACAGAGATTTCAGTTCACCTTATGACAAGGTTGACTGGCAGTTGGGACTCCAGCGACTTAGCTTTCGGGAGTCATCACCTACTCTAGGGTGGGACTTTCAATAGAACTGGTGCTTTACATCCATCCTCCATGTCCCTGTGAGATGCACCTATAAACTTACAGGTTCACCAAGTTGGCCCTGGATGGAACCATTTCTATTGCTGTTGCTCTTGTCACATGCCATAACCGGATAGTGAGTCCCTATTGCTGGGGTTATAGGACATGATGAAATCAGGCTGACAGCAATCTAGAAGCTTCTTCCCCATTCGCTGACATTTGTAGTGCCAGAAGATGATAGCTTGCTGGGGAACTATTGTCACTGACTTTTCCGCTTGGCTATGGCCCTTGGTGTTAATGCCATCAACATGACATGCAAGGTGTGCCCATGGTGCACTATGGTATGCACTTGTTATGGGTAAAGCCCACTACTTTCTGATCAGACTTAAAGCCTGTCACATACGAGGGAACTAATGCATGGTATTTAAGACAGGCAAAGCCCTGGGGAAACTGCAGGCTGTACTTGGGAGAGTATTGCTACTGTTTTGTTACATTGCCAATTAAATGTTCATTCTTGTTTATGTCCACATATTTTTGCTGTTGTCTGCTTCAGTCATGGAGAAAGGCTTATTTTTACAGTGAGTACTGCTTACTGTTGAGTCTCATAACTGGCCAAATATGGAGGGTAAGTCTCTACTGTCATGGCAAAGAGATTCATTGCTCAGAAAACAATCAGGTGTGTGTACATACACCTGCAAACACACTCACATTCACCTCTCCAAGGCTCAGGAGATATCACAATACATACATACATACGTATATCACAATATATACATACACACATACAATACACATATACATACATATATCACAATACATACATACGTACGTACATACATACATACATACATACATTCATACATGGGAGAAAGAACAGAAAGAATGTGAAAGGCTGAAGTCCTCTGGACCTGACCTGACCGTCATCATGGAGAGAGGCCACTGTGGTGACCCACAGAATGCCTTGGCATTAAAGTCATGACTGTAAATAATCAAAACAATATAGTGTTAGCCAGGTAACAGGAGAGAAGTTGTTAGTATTCCCTCCCTGAGGCTCCAGCCACCTTTCCCACATACATCCCAGCTCTTCTTGCCCTTAAGGATATAAGTGTACACAGGTGGGTGGGAGGTTGGGGCTTGGCCCAGAGAGTGGCAGGATACGGAGGTGTGGCCTTCTTGGAGAAAGTGTGTCACTGTGGGGTGGGCGTTGGGACCCTCCTCCTGGCTGCCTGGTAGTCAATCTTCTCTTGTTTACCTTCAGAATAAGATGTAGAAGAACTCGTCTCCTCTAGCACCATGTTGGCCTGGACACTACCATGCTTCCTGCTAAGATGACAATGGACTGAATCTCTGAACCTGTAAGCTGGCCCCTATTAAATGTTGTCTGTTTTAAGAGTTTCCTTGGTCATGGAGTCTCTTCACAGCAGTGGAAACCCTAACTAAGTCAGGGCTCTAATGAAGCAACCTTCCCAAGTCCTCGTCACCCATGCTAGAGTGCAACTTGAGGTGATGTAGCTGTTTCTGAGTTACTTGAGCTCCCGTAGGTACTATCGGTGAACTCACTGCTTTAGAAGCTGGACTCTGATGTGATTGTTTCTTTGGTCTGCTATTGGTGCTCTATCTAGTATAAACATCGCTCTTTACACATCCCCAGGAAAAGCCAAGCCACATGCAGCCTCCTGATCTGGGGTCACAGGCACATGAGCCATCAATCTAAGAGCTGTACTACACGCGAAACTTCACTGGTGCTGTGCCTGTCTGTCTATATGAATATCTATGTTCCTCTAAGAATTATCTGTTGAAGATAACCTAACCTCTGAGGTAAAGAAATTAGGGTAGGAAGGACTCTGGGAAGTGACTGGGTCATCGGGGTAGTACCCTCATGAACGGGATAAGTCACATTAAAAATGATTAACTTTCAGACATAGCTCAGCAGTGGGGGGCTTGCCTAACACTCAAGACACTCAGTGTAATCCCCAGTACTGCAACAGAGCAGAAGTGCAGACAAACAAAATGGAATCCCAGAGAGCCGCCTAGTCCTTTCCCCATGTCTCATGAGACAACTCGAAGGTGTGGTCTACAAACCAAGCAGAGAAACTTGCAGATGCTGACACTCGTGCCTTCATCATGTAATCCCTAGCCTCCTGCATGATTTCTGTTGTGTATAACCAACCTCAGCTTATTACACCTTATTACAGCATCCCAAGTGGACTATGGCAACTTGCTTCAGGCTTCAGCATTTAGTTTCTGAATGATTAGATCTACGAATCTAAGAGAGATGAATTCTTCCCTTCTCTGCCTCCGATATTCCTTCAGAACACTTTGCTTTTGTGGCTGTGTGTAATTTTAGATTACAAAAATGATCAGCTAGCTCCTCACTGCAGGCAAACGGGGCAGCTGTACCATGTGAGCCAACGCATATGAGAAGGCTCCATCGGCACGCTTCTCTTGTGATCATGTGTTTGCTGCACTATGAGGAACTCTCCAAGCCCAGCCAGCAGGCCACCCTTACCCTGGACGTTCTGAGCTAGTCCGAGTGTCTTCTGCACATCTCTGCAGATCTTAGAAAGGCAGTATTGGAACTCCTCGTCACAGTCGTTCTTGCCTTTCCCACACGTCTCATAGCACCTGTCGTGCTGGTTGCAGCACTTGGTCAGGGAAGGGATGCCGATGTTCAGCTGTGAGATGCATTGGATAGACTGTTGTCAGGAAGATGCGAAGCTCCCGGCAAAAGTGACACGTTCAAATGGACTCCATAGAAGTAAAGGACAACTGCTATAGACAATCCCCAAACCCACATCTGCCTATAAATGTTTCCTGTGTTGGAATCTCCCCGCTCTCCTTACCCGTTCCCAGCCATGTAACTGTGTCAGCCACACCCACTCCTCTAGTCTGCAGTTAGCTAACTGTCAGTAATTTTCACAACTTTTAACTATCTGAAACACAATGCTCAACTGACTGACTTTCTTTTTAGCTTTATTTATTTATTCATTTGGGGGAGTTGGCGGGGCACAGGAGGGTAGCCAGAGGAGGGTGTCTTCTTCTATTGCTGCCTGCCTCACTACCCTGAGACAATTTCTCACTGAGCTACTGAAGACCACTGTTTTGACTACACCGATTATCCAGAGAGAGCTCTGAGGCTCTGCCTGTCTCCATCCCCCCACACTAGACACATGCAGCCATGCCTGGCATGTATGTGGACGTCGGGGACTCACTCAAGGGCTCATGCCTGCACAAAAGCACCTTACCACTGAGCCATCCCTTTAGCCCCCAAAGCATAGCTTTACAAATAACAAGTCTAAGAACATTCAAAGAAATCTCGAGGGCTTTTATGATCTTCGGATTTTCAAAGTATTTTGTGACCCTTCCTCCAAATAAATGTACTTTCTGTGAAATGTTGCAGGAAACTCTTAAACGCCTATAATTCAAATGGTGGTTTGTTTGTTTTTTTAACTGTAGGTATTTTTTCATTTTCAAGAGATAGCATTACTTTGAATCTGTAACTTAGCTCTAGTTATTTTAATTGACTGACACAGCCCTGGTGGGCAGGAACTGTTGTTATGAACCTCCCTCCACTATCCATTGGTGACTCCTGGCTTGTGGAGTCTCCCCAAGAACAACTGCTGCACTCACTATGCTGTGCCTCACTTGGCCTTGTTCTATACAGAAAACAAGCCTCATCCGCTTTCCCCTCCCTAACCAATATTACTTTGCACTTTACAATTTCATGTTATGTTTGTGATAATTAGAAACTATCATTTATGTGATACTTATACAAAATAAAAATTAAATCATTATTTTAAATACATTTGATATTGTTTAGCTGTTAAATGTGTTTTATCAGAAAACAATAATACATGCAATCGTTCCATAAACAATGTTATTAGAGCCTGAGGAAACACTTATGTCTCGGATTACTAAAAATATTAGACTAACAGTCACAAAGCTTATCAAAGGGAAAAAAAAAAAAACTACTTACATGAACACCAAACAATGGAGAGCCACACCCATTTGGTGGTGATGGTTTATATCCGTAGCGTGGAACAGGCTTTGATCCTATATAAAATACAAATGATGTCATATTTAGTTTAAAATATGAAAGAAGTAAAATACATATTTGTAAAGGCATACAACGTGCTTGACTAGCCGTGAAGATGTCTAGTACTCACTTTGACCAAACATGAAGAATGATGTATTTATTCCGATGAGTTCTAGAATGCTTGATCATGGGAATATTTTTAGTTCGTGAAGAACACAGAACCTATGCAAATGTGCAGGACATCCACAGATGTGAAGCATTCATGAAGGTCATTACTATTTATAAGTACACACTGTCAAAGCATGCCAAAGCTTATGCTGGACCACAGGAGACTTCAAAGGTGCGCACGATACTGCATCACACAAATCAAAGATCTACACTGTCTTCCTGCACATCTAATGCTTGAGTTTCATGGATGAAACCTGCTAGGCATGCACTGTATGCTTTTATTCGATAATGTTCCATCCCACAAAAAGCTCAATACCCATCAACTGGAAGGTGTTTAACTAAAGCCTAATCTAAGATAGACAAGGCTATGCAATGGCAATCTAATACTTTTAGTATTAGTATGGGCATGATAGAACCATAGATTCGGCCTCCACTCCCTGCAGCCAACTCTTTCATGAATGCAGCTAATAAAGTCTATTCATAGCGCACCTAGATCATGGCATTCTGTGAGAGTGACCCACGCAGGAAAACATTCATATTCCAGCAAGGCTTTTCCTGGTGATACTTCTGACTGGTATGGTTTCTAACACACCATGCCATTAATCTGCCTACTTCCTTTACTATTTGGTTCTCCATACTGAAATGTAAAATGAGATAGGCCTCTCTCTGTTGTACATGCCTCGTGCCTAGCATAGCTTCTACATGTAGTTAAGTTTCCAATGAATGCCGCTGACAGATGGTCAGATCAATGGGCACTGGGCAGATGAAGGCTAATCCCTATGACATCTGTCACATTTGTTACATGTAAGCACTATCGCTGTTTACTCTTCAGTCTTTTGAGTTTCCTGGGCCTTCATTTACTGGCCTACAAACACTGACTGCTTCTAGCTTGTTACATTGCTTTAAAATGTGGCAGTCAGGGGCCCTCACGATGGCTTAGCTGGTAAAGTATCTGTTACCAAGCTTAACTACCTGAGTTCAACCCCACCCCCAACCCACATGATAAAGAGAATCGGTTCCCACTAGTTGTCCTCTTGACTTCCACACGCACACTGTGGGATGCATATACCCATACACCTACATCATACATACATGAAATAAATAAACTGTAAAACTTAATCATTACATATGATGATTGAGGTAACAGAATATTCATTTTAACACAGCTCATGGAAGCTGTATCTCAGGGCTAAACTATCAAATGGCAGCAATAAAAAAAAAAGTACTTCCTAAAACTGAGCTTTTAAAATATCTACTCCTAGCTGGGCGTGGTGGTGCAGGCCTTTAATCTCAGCACTCAGGAGCCAGAGGCAGACAGATCTGAGCTCAAGGCCAGCCTGCCTCATCTACATAGTACATTCCAGGACATCAGGGCTACATACAAAGACCCTGTCTCAAAAAAAAAAAAACTCAAAATATAAATAAATAAATACCTACTTGTAGAATTTCAGCATTCCTGTTATTAAGTTTTTAGACCTGTTACAGGATTGTTGAACTCTATTTCGTTGGATTTACTTCACTATCTGCCATTGTTTGATAAGCTTTACATCTACAGCCATCTGCCCAGTATGACCTGGAGTTGTAAACTTGAGCCATAGATATTAATCTGAACTGAGGCAAGCATCATCTTACTGAGATGAGTCCTCTCTAGCAACAGTTATGATGTTAATCCAGCCCTCTGAGGGACCACTCAGCCAGTTGTGACTCTGCTCCCACGGGACTATCATGAGAGACCACACATTTTTATCTATGATTTAAAGCCCTGTGCAAGAAGGCAGATACCTTATTTATTTATTTATTTATTTATTTATTTATTTATTTATTTATTTATGGTGCTGGGGACTGACTGAATTGAACTCGGGGCCTTGCAAATGTGAGGCCAGAACTCTAGCACTAAGCTACATCTCCAGCCCAGGCTATTTCCTGTTGCTAGTATCACAAAGGCCAAGGTAACTTTTTTTAAAGGAGGTTTATTTTGGCTCATACTTCAAATCCAAAGTCCAGGAGTTGCATCTAACTATGGCTTTCTCGCTGGCTTCATCCTCTCAAAGATCAAAGCATCACGTGAGTAGAGACCAGAGTGAGAGAAAGCAGCCAAACAGGCTTTACTGCATACTCAGTCACAAGATAACCCTATTGATCCATTAAGTAGACACAGATCAGACATGATCAATTCATGAGGGCAGAGTCCTCTGCACCTCTTAGTACTGCATCTTTCAGTGGAGGAACAAGCCATACTCAAGCCATAGCAGGAAGAAAGACTGAACTGGCAAAGCGTTCCTGGGAAACACACTCCAGTTCCTTACGCATTTGTATAAAGCTTTCTCTTGAGCAGGTTTTAACAGTGAGTGGTTTCAAATGCTTACAAACCTCTGATGCAGTGGTTCTCACCCTGTGAGGCTCCACTCCTTTGGGGTTGACTGGCTTTGTCACAGGGGTCACACATCAGATATTCTTCATATCAGATATTTATGAGTCATAACAGTGGCAAAATTACAAAAACATGGTTGGGGTCATCGCAACATGAACTGTATTAAAGGATCATAGCATTGCGAAGGTCAAGAACCATGGCGCTAGAGATATACATAAATCAAGGAGCCAGACTATTAATACTCTTTTTAAAAAGCACTACAAATACACTATAGTGTGTTCAAATTCTGAAAGAGGATATATACTATATATTGTTTTTCAGGTTAACAACTGTTTTCAATTCAGAAGCACATCACCTAAAAATCCATCAGGAAGCTGATGGAAGTCAGGCTTATTATTTTAAAATGACAGCTTGCCCTATGTTTCTGCTTGCTCGGATAACAGGTACATTCCCCTTCCCACCTATAAGTCTGCAGATTTCTGTCGCCACTCACGTCCAGACGTTATCACTCTCAGACAGCAGATACAAAGCAAGGAGGTGTGTGCACTTCTGATACCTGCTTATCTGTCTGGTTTTTTTTTCTTTTAAAACTAGGAATGTATTTCCTTTCCTGTTCATACAACAATTCTTCCATCTTTCCTTCCCTTTATACCTGATCTAAATTGTCTTCATTTCCAAGCTGTATAAATTCTCCCGGACCCTTGATGACTGCAGTGACAAAACATAGGGATGCTAGCATCCACCAACACGCACAGACACTTTCTTCATACGGAGATACTGTCAAGCAAGAGAATGACCAGATGCAAATGAAGTTAGAAAAAGATACCAAGTAACTATGCTCACCATGGAGAAGCAGAGGACTGGGGACAGAGACAGTGGAGAGACTCCACGGGTAAAAGGAGAGAGTGAAGGTGTAGAGCAGCCGTGTCAGACATGCAAGTGCTTCCTGCAGAGGAAGGGTAGCAACACTGAGTAAGATCCATCCGGAACTGGGCTGTCTAGTCTGGCCTCAGTGGGAGAGGATGTGCCTAGATCTGCAGTGAGTTGAGGTATCAGGCTGGGTTGGCACCCAGGGGTAATCTTACCCTTCTTAAAGATGAAGCGGAGAGAGGGATGGGGGAAGGACCGTGTGATGAGGATACTGGGAGGAGGGACTGTGACTGGAATGTGAAACAAATAAATTAATGAATGGGAAAAATACCCATCCATACCTACTTTTTATGAAACATTGAAAAGAATGCTAAAATACATGCTGGGAACTGACTCTCTAACATCTGCACTGACAGGGACATGCGCTTGTATGTTTTGTCAGTTGGGGGTTTCTTTAGAACAACCAACTGATGTCTCCTCTCTCAAACAGCCTCCAAGGTCACCTCACCTAGAAGGAGCATCTTCTGTATCTGACACCAAGGTTGGTTGTTTTTCTAATGTTTATGAGCAAATGAGCGTAACTCTAGGAGTTTGTCTTCCCTCCCTAGATGATGCCTAGCACACAATGAGCGCCCAAGAAATTACGAGATATGAGAAATACTCTGCCAAAATTAAGATGTTCTCTTTCTATAGAATGAGCAAATAAAACCACCACAAACAGAAGTAACTACTTTGCTGAAACAGTTCAGGGGTTTAAAGTTCTAAATTCACCTTTATACTGAAATATTACTTCAAGGCTGGCTCAGCAGGCAAAAGCTCTTGCCCTACACACCTGAAAACCTGAGTTTGAGCCCCAGATCCCACAGTGAAAGAAGAGAATGACTTCCCAAAAGCTGTGATCTGACCAATCACACGTTCATGTCACGGCATGAGCATGCGTACTTCCTCCCTCTCCCTCTCTCTGCCCCCAACTCAAAGAAAATTAAATACGTGGACACACACTCAACAAATAAGGTTAAATTTAAAACATAATTATTTAGAACAAATCATATATAAAGCTGCTTACTAAAAAAATATTAAAGTTTTAATGTTCAGCGTCTCTTAACATCACTTATAACAATATTTTAAATAATGTTAATATTTTGCTTCTCTTGCAGAGGGCCCAGATTGGGTTCCCAGTCCCCATAGAGAGGTTCACAACAGTCTGTGACCCCAGCTCCAAGGCTGATGCCCCCTTCTGCTCCCTGCCTCCATGATGAATGTATCGAACATCCGTATGTGCAGGCAAAACTCTCACACACATAAAAAATAAATACTTAGCTGATTCGGGCGCCAAATTATGTACTAACGTTATTTAAAATACTGTTGTACGTGGTATTAAGAGACGCTAAACATTAAAACTTTTAACATTTCCACTATTAGTTGACTTTTACAAAGCAAACAGAAGCTCATTTGGAAGAAACACAATTAGGCGTCAAACCTCAATATCAATACTAACGTCAATACTGACGAAAGTGGCTGCCTTCTTAGTGTTTTCTCCTCCCTCTATGCAATCAAAACCTAAGTATTTGCAGGAAGTGAGACACAGATTAGTATTCTCTTCCCCCTCCCTCGCGACCTTAGTTTTTCTGAATTTGATATAAACACTTTGAAACAGATTCAGTCGTTTCACCTGGAAGAAAACCCAGCAGGTGAGAATCTCAGAGGGTGGTGACGGTGTCACACAAAGATCTTACCACTGTGTATGTGGGGCATAAACTAGTGGTGATCCCAACTGGTATCACTAACTCAACACTTGAGACTTAACCCGTTCATCTCCATGGCTCTGAGAATAACTGTTTTCCTAAAGCCAGCGGTTCTCAGCCTTCCTAATGTGACACTTTAAGACAGTTCCTCATATTGTGGTGACCTCAACCATAAAATTATTTTTGTTGTTACTTCATAACTAATTTTGCTACTGTTGTAAACCATAATGTAAATATCTGATATGTGGGATATCTGATATGTGACCCCCTGTGGGGGGTCGAGATCCACAGGTTGAGAACCACTGCTCTGGGTCATTCATTTCCTGTTTTCCTCAGATGTCCCAACATCTTCATTCTTAGGATTTCTAGAAGCTGATGGCTTCTTTCCCTTTCCTCTTCATTGAAAGATAGTCAATCAAACCCACCCACCTAACATCGGTGCCCACATCCTACCTCCACCCTCCTAACAGGGGTGTGCTACCTGCTCTTGGCCAGCCTCTCCCTTTGCACACTTAGAAATTACACTTCTCAGGTATGACAGGACATGACTTCAGTATCCTCTCCAATCACCTCCTCTACCTTTTCTGCCTTAGTCACAAATAATGACAATTCTTTAGGTTCTTCATTCATGTTACACCTCAAATACAAACCCTCTCTCATCACCCCAACTCCTGCTAACTCAAGACAAAACCAGTGCCTTTTGTCTGGACTCTTAAGATTTATTTATTTTTTTTATATGAGTACACTGTAGCTGTCTTCAGACCCACCAGAAGAGGGCATCCCATTACAGATAGGATTACAGTTTCCATTATAGATGGTTGTGAGCTACCATGTGGTGCTGGGAATTGAACTCAGGACTTCTGGAAGAGCAGACAGTGCTTTTAACCACTAAGCCATCTCTCTGGCCCTTGTCTGGGCTCTTGCACACAGCAGCCTGGCTCCATTTTGGCTTCCCTACCTCCACTACCGCTTAATTCTCAATACAGCATATGCTCCTGCTAACACATATGTCACTAGAGGAAAGAACAACTTATTCAAAATTCTGTAAACACTTTAGAAGCTGCTTCTATTTTTTAACAGAAATAGAAAACGTTTCTCACATAATTTCCTTTGATGTCAGGGAGGAACAAAGTGAAGGGCTGGGAAGCTGATCCAGGCAGGTAATGGTGATTATTATGCCACGTTAAGCCGAGTTTAAGGCAGACGAGTGTGTGCGTATAACCCCAGTGTTGGGAGACCACAGAGACAGGCAGATCCCAGGAGCTCACTGACCAGCGGTATCAGGGAGATCCAGGAGTTCTTGCCTTACCCAGGAGCCTGGTGGCAATAAAAGTAAGTGAAGGGAAGTTTAAAGCAACCTTTTCATCGGAACAGTATTAGTTTGAGATGTTCTCAGCGTTAACAACGCTACAGCTGGGACTCAAGCTGTTTCTAAAGACTGCACCTTTCAAGTCATCCTTGTCTCTGTAAATAACAGCTGCATCTTCCCGCTGCCACAGGCAGAAATCCTCAGTCACACTGACTGGCTTCCTGTGAGCCGGTGCCCTCTGGACTGTGTCCTCACTGTCCCTTCCTGAAACATTCTTTCCCTGATCATCACAGAGTTCTCCTACTTTCCAATCCTGAGACTTTCTTCTTCTTCTGTCCTGGAACAGCCTATATGAAAGGCAAATGGCTCCCAGTCCTTCCCAGGGCCACTGCAGTCATCTTTCATTTCTCGTTCTCGAGGCACTGGTCACAGCAGACCTGTGGACAGCGAGTACACAGCTCTCCAGACTCACTGGCTGCTTCTCCGCACCAGAACACAAGCTCCGGTAGGGCGATCTCATTGGCCACTGCTGAATCCTCCCCTTGCCAACAGCTGACACGTGCTCAAGACTAAAGTCTGCATAACCGTAAGGAATTAAGCTAGAACTTGTGCCTTAGCAAAGTTATTATTTACTCCTTGTTACCCACGACACCCCGCTAATACAGTTTACAAAAACAAAATACTGTACAGGAAGAAAATATTCTTCTTGGTGCGTACTGGTGGAAGCTCTTAGGCATAAGCTTTGGAGGCAAAGTGGGATCTCTAGAATCTATTCAATGGAATGGTCTTTATATTATCATAAAGGCGGAGGCTAGCTGGACGCTCATAAGCTGCAGGTGGCATCAGTTTTACAGGAAAGATTTTTTTTTTATCAAGTTTGCTAACTAGGCAATCAGGGTTTCTCACTAAAGTCAAGGATTTCCCTATTATTTTCAGCCGGTAGACTTGGCTAGTCTCATAAGAAACTTGGTTTTCACAAGTTCTATCCTAACATTTTGAATTGCCAAACAGAAGCCTCATCCCACCCACCCCCTCAAACACACAAATCAAATGCTCTAAAACAAAACAAAACAAAACAAAATCAACAAAAAACCCACAAACACTCAAATTGCGGCCTTAAGTGTTGATTTTATTATCATCCACACTGCCAGGAAGCAAGTTCTCAGATTCAAATAGAATGTTTAAAAACAGTAAAAGGAGTGAGCACAAAAACTCTAATACAGTGATACCCAATGAAAGCTACAACGCGGACAAGGTGGCTTGTGTCTGTCATCCAAGCACCCGGAAGGCCAAGGAACAGGAGTTCAAGGCCAGCCTCAACTATATCCCAAGTTCGATACCAGTGTGGACTACTTGAGACCCTGTCTCAAAAATCAAAGCAAAACAAAACTGCAAGTCTTAACAGACTGTTTCCTAGAAGTTAGGGGAACTCTTTCAATGCAGTATACCTCTCTCAAAAACCAAGTACAGCAGAAATCGACACAAAAGTCACAATTTATTTTACTACCTAGCTTTGCAGATAAGCAAACAAAACAGCATTTAATATCAACTGGTGGCTTTTAAATTGTCGTTCGGCTTTATATGTTTAACTGAATCAATTATATGATGTGTGTGTGTGTCTGTGTGCGCGTGTGTGTCCACACGCGCTAAAAATCAGTCCCACTTCCCTCCCAGCTTTCGTACATCAATAAGTTCTTAGGCAACTTTGTGCAATGGCGGGGAAAGAGGGCGGAAAAACTCAGAAGCAAAGGAGAGCAGAGTGCAGAGCGCGCACTCAGGTGACCTCTCACATTTGTTCCCAGCTTGCTCAATCCCAAGGACAGCACGCTCCAAGCGCTGCTCATTCTTTCCACACCCGCAGTCAATGTCTGCCTGGCACCTGTTCCCCTAGCTCCCTGTCCCGCCACCGCTTCCCTGTACCTGTCCCCGCCCCCTGCTCCGCAAGTGTCCCTCCATCTTCTCGCACCTTACCTGTCCCCCATCCCCCTGCTCCCCACACTTATCCCTCCAACTCCGGCTCCACACTTGTCCCTCCATCCCCCTTCCCTGTACCTGTCCCCGCCCCCTGCTCCGCAAGTGTCCCTCCATCTTCTCGCACCTTACCTGTCCCCCATTCCCCTGCTCCGCAAGTGTCCCCCCACCCCATCCCCGTCAACCTGCCCCACATTTATCCCCCCCCCCCATCTACCTGCTGCACACTTATCGCTCCATCCCCCTGCCCCGCACCAGTCCCTTCATTTCCTCGCTCCATACCGGTCCCCCCATTCACTTGCCCCGCACAGATTCTCCCAGTCCCCCGCCCCCGCCCTCCCTCCTCCATCCCCCCTCTCTCCCCGCGCCCCGGCGGCTCACCGTCGCTGCACTTGTACTGGCAGAGCCCGTCCTCCCCGCCCAGCAGATCCAGCGCGGCGTTGAGGTACGTGTCTATCTTATGGATGCCGTTGCGGATGGTCTTGAGGGTGGCCCTCCAGTCGGTGGTCTGGTCCTGCTCCTGGCCGCGCACGGTGATCAGGAGGAGCAGGAGCAGGAGCGCAGGGCCCCGGGCGGGCGCGGGCCGCAGAGCCACCATCTGCAGGGCCGGGGCGGCCGGGCTGGGCAGCGGCGCGCGCTCCGGCTCAGGCCCCCGCCTCCTCCGCGCTCGCGCGCCCGCGCCCCGTCACTGAGCCGCGCCAAACGGAGGGCCTGCCCGGGCACGCGCGCCGCTCGCTCCCCGCGGCCGCGGCCTGCACAGTGCGCATGCGCCGGAGCGTGGGAGCCTGGAGAGTGCGGTGGCGACCTCCTCGCCCACGTGGTCTCCCGAGCGCTTCCCGTAGCTTTGCGTCATGACTCTGTGGAGTCGTAAAAACGCCCTTGTCCGTGCCCTCGACATAGTCATTGCTTTGTTTTAGCACCGTAATGAGTTTGTTTTGTTTGTTTTTTGTTTTGTTTTTCAAGACTGGGTCTCTGTGTAGCCCTGACTGTCCTGGAACTCACTCTGTAGACCAGGCTGGTCTCGAACTCAGAGATCCGTCTACTAGGATTAAAAGCATACACCAGCCAGCACCTCCCGGCTTCTAGTGAGGTTTGTTTGCTTGCTTGGTTTTTCAAAGCTCTCGGGTTTACCGAGGCACCATAGTTTAGAACGACTCTAGTAGCACAGCCTCACTTGGGCTCAGCAGTCCCAGCCTTTTCTGGGCATGGCCTGGAGTCCAGCCCAGGGAATTGTTTGAACACGTGATTGCCCGCTTGGCCTTGCACCCTACCAAGCCTGGATTTGCCTCCTGGGTCCTTCTGGGAACCTTGTAATCGGTTGCAATCCTAGCAGTGCAGTGTCTGAGGGTCATTGAGGATGGAATTCTCAAACAGAGCACTTCCCCCATAGCTTCTAATTTTAAGGAAGGACAAGTTCAGTTATCCCTCCTTAAAATTCTAAATACTGTAGAGAAAAGGCTAATCACCGATTAGGCAGAGGAGAGGGAGGCAGGAGTATGTCTTCCAAAATGGGACAAATGCCGTAAGGTTACCTGAGACCAGCCCTCAGTTGATTTTTTCCGAGACAGGCAGGGTCTTGGCCTATGGCCCAGGCTGCCCTCCAACTTGCCTTGAACACACCATCCTCCTAAGTGCTAGGATCCTGGCTCCAAGCCTCTCTCTTTTCTATTCTTTACACATTTACATCTTGGCGAACTAATGTCTTTTACCTTAACAATAATCTGTGCTCTGAAGACTTGGTTTGTGCCCGTGCCCCACCCCCACCCCCGGGGCGGGGGGATTACATTCTCAAATGCCAGGTTCTGGTGGCACCTTTTCTCATTTTTTACACACTGCACAAGAACACGGCTGGTTAAACCGGATTCAGTTCCTCCCTTCTGTTTATTGTCTGCCATCCATGGCCATACCAGTCACCTCATATTTAAGATAAAATCTCACCATAGACCACCCCTCCCTGGTACTGTGTCATCGGTTTTGTCCCCAGACACTGTATTTTCCCTCCTTCGCCTATCTAGAACCAGGGCCACTCTCTCCTTCCCCAAGGTGGCTTCTGTCTTCTTCAGTTTCCCTTGGAGTAGTCTGGGGATCTCCAGTCTTCCATATCTCATGTCAGTCATCCACCCTCCCCTGTACCCGTTCCTCCCTGCCTCCCGTTTGGACTTTATACAATTCTTCAGTGGCTTCAACTCTTGGGCTCAAGGCCACACCCAGCTTGTCCTTTTCTCTGATGCACCCTGGGTACCAGGGACACTGAGCTGCTATCCATCCTGTGTGTGGCTGGCTCCTCAAGCTGTGAGGCCTTTGGGAAGCTGCTTGGGAAGCTCTTCCATGCCTTTGTTTTCTCTCCTGTTGCAGTGAGAAAATACTCTGACAAAAGCAACATTAAGAACCAATGAGAAAGCTAAGTGTTTGCTATGTGAGCCTAATAATCTCTTTATATGTGGGATGCACAGTAGAAGGAGAGAAGAGAGTTCCCCAACCTCAGACCTCCACATGCACACACAAACACATAATAATAATATTAATACTTACTGAAAAAGGCTTGCTTGTTTTTCTAGCTCAATTCCAGGATCCACTTGACCACAGGAAGAAGTTAAAATGACAGGAGCTTCAAGCAGCAGGTTGCATCGCAATTGGAAAGCAGAGAGTAACAAGTGCCTCACTTTCTAAACTTTATACTATAGTCTAGAGTCCCTTGCCTAGGGAATAGTCCCACCTCCAATTGAGATAGGTCTTCTCACATCAGATAACGTATGCAAGATAATTCTGCACAGACATGACCAGAGGCTCATTTCCTAAATTATTCTGGATTCTGTCAAGTTGACAATTAACAATAATTATGACAATTCATAAATCAGATTAAGTTCCCCTCTGAGGATGTCCCCTGGTGACTCAGGCTGATCTCCAGTGAGTTTCCTTACTACTGGTTGTGCAAAGTACAGCTTCATATTTTATTTTCCATCTAACCCCATATGATGTAGGAATCTTGATTATGACAAGACTATTCACAACCCAGTTATATATGACCCAAGGGTACCAGACATGGTCATCTAGGATTGACCTGGAACAGTGACTAGAGTTTACTGTCTTGTGCCAATGACGATTAAAGATAAGGACAGTAGCCCGGTGGTGGCGGTACATGTTTTTAATCTTTTAACTCGGGAGGCAGAGGCAGGAGGACCTCTTGAGTTTGAGGCTAGCTAGGTCTACAGAGTGAATTTCAGGACAGCTTAGGCTACAGAGAGAAACCTTGTCATAAAAAAAAAATAATACCAACAACAAAAAAAGATATGAACAGTTGTGGGCTATGCTTTATTAAGAATTACAGGGGAAAAAGGAATCGAGAAAAGGAGACGCCCAGGATGGGAGGGGCTCTAAGAGAGGAAAAGCCAGTGAAGGTCGTTGTCTAGAGGTTTTATAAGACTATGATGGGAACTAGACAAAGGCTGCCGCTGCCGTGAGATGTATTAGTTCTCTGAGCTCTGCTGCACCCTGACAATGGAGGGGCCACATGCTCGACGTGTGTCCCTCTGTCCCAACCAGAGACGATTGTGTATCCTGTGCTGCTCACCCAGGAGTGGGTGGTGGAAGTGCTGCTCTGTCCATCTCTGACTCTAGCTTTGGTAGCATTGACAGTGACTGTCTGCAGGCTGTTAGTCAAGTTGGTGTGGAGGCTGGTAATTATTTTAACTCTCTGTTCTCTTAACTCACCAATAAGCAGCTGCATTGTCCTTAGTTAACTCTTTGACTTCAGGATGGCCTGGGGTCTCTTTCCTGAGGTAGGTGAGGGCTTTCCTGCCATCTTTACTTTCAACTTGGTTTATTATAAAAGCAAGACTATACTAACAGCTCCTGTTAGTATAACAGTTTTGTCTCTGTTGCTGTGATGAAAGATCATGATCAGTGGCAACTTAAGGATGGGAAGGTTTATGTCCTCTGACAATTCTGGGGGAGTAAGGGCAAGAAGTCAGGGCGTGAACCTGGACATGGGAACCGAAGCAGAGACCATGGACACTACTTACTGGCTTGCTCCACTTGATTTGCTCCTCCTGACTTGCTCAGATCACCTGCCTAAGGGTGGCACTGTCCCCAGTTACACGGCTCTCCCGTATCAGTCATTAATCAAGAAAATGCCCCACCGACTTGTCTATAGGCCAATCTGATGGAGGCACTGAATCTATATTTGTACTAAGCTGACCATATTGGATTCTGTGATTTGGAGTCCTGAGAGACACCCCTGACCTGCTAAAACCCTGGAGTCAGAACATCTGTTCCCACTGTACACGGTCTTTTTCTGTGTGGAGCCACCTTGGAAAGCTGAGTCACTGCCCTTGAGAACCTCAGCCCAGTCCATTCTGGGGTTTGTTTTGTTGATGCAGGTTTCAGTGTGCAGAATGGGGTTCTGAGCTTTCAGCCTTTCCCACTTCTGAGTTTCTACACACAGGTGTCTTCTAAAATATCTTCCACACATTGTCCTGGAGCTTTAACACTTCTCAGAGCTGTAGCTGCTCTCCCCTGGCTTCCAGTGGCTACTGTGAGTTCATGGGAAATTGTTTGAAGTTGTCAACCCCAAACTGACAATAAAGGCTCTCCTTTTTGTGCTCCTCATTATCTGACCGCAGCAGTTCTTGGAGGGGGTGGAGCACAAACCCAGTTGGAGATAGACGTCTCCACTCTCTGCTTCACAATAGCAGCGTTGGTTTTAAAACAAATCGTAAAGTTAATGCTGATTCACTGAACATCTCTGAATTAAGAGCAAGAGGTACGGCCAAGAGGAGGACAGGTAAGGACTCTCATCTGTCTCATATTGTCCCTGGGGCGACAGTTGGAGAAGAGGCAGGAAAGCAATGAAAACGATACCTCGATACCTCGAGAATGATCAACGCTGCTCTGAGATTAAAGCGGGCTGTTGTGGTGGAGGAGGCGGAGCACTTGCTGTATCCCTGACAAAATGGTGATGCCTCGTGCAGAGATGGAGGGGAAGGGGCACAGTTAGGAAATACAGGGTTGACCACAGTACTCCCTAAGTGGCAAGTACTTAATGTTTCTAGGAAAGGTTGAGAATGGAGATATGAATTCATGAGTCCTTGGACTGTGAGTCGAACTGACAACTGAGTCAAGATGAAGAACCCCAAAGAGAGAACAAAGTAGAAGAAGCAACCAGAAGGACGTGGCTGGCAAGGAGGCTTAGAACAAGGAACCGGACAGACAGTCAAGCGCTGCTGGCAGGAGAGCAGTCTAGTGTCTGTGACAGCATGGAGGGCTGTGGAGAGGGTTCCAGGAAGGGTCAAGGGGAGCCTGTGACAGGAGGAAAATGTGTTACTACTTAAAGAAGCAGAGGAATGGGGCAAGAGCTGGGAGGTGTCACTGTCCCATCAAAGATATGATGCCAGGCTTTTTACGTAAACAGGGATCCATTTTCACACCTTCCTTTGTTGTGGAATGCCCTGTAGCTTTTTTTCCTTCTTAAAGAGGGAGAGGGGTTCATAAAGGCCAGAAAACTAAAGAGACTCACTAGACTCAGGGAGCTCAGAAAGGTACAAGAGACAATAGGTGTTGTTTTATAAAAAGATAAAGAGAGAAGAAATATATTTTGGTGAATGTGTAGTTAG